TTGCAGGCAGTAGGCCTATGCAAATAAAATTGCTTGACAAAGAATGAAAATGGTTTCAAGTCAAGTAATTTTAATAGAAATTCAGGCTGCGTGAATACTGAGATTAGATATAGTATCTTCCGCTTTAACAGAACTGAAATTGTTAATTCTAACAGAAGAGAAGTGGTGAACACACCAGTGGGCCTTCACCTCTGACAGCACTTAGTCAACAAGAGCATAAAACTGAGAATATATGAGGTTAAAGGTCAATGGCAGATAAGTCATGAAAAGCCTCGATGAAAGGTAAACTGTGGCAATGACAATAAACAGACGCAGCTTGAATAAAGGGTAAAATAAGTCAAAATGATGAACGATTTAACTGAAATGTGTATGGAAACAGAAAGTATCCAGTATATTTGATAAGTGTTTGAAATAGTGAGCCATTTATTTTCAAACTTTGGGTATCAAAGTGTTATGAAGCTCTAACCAAATGGATATTTGCATTGCTCTCTGAAGTACTGTTTTAAATGAAATTCAGGTTTCAAGAAAAGGGCAACAGTGAGAGGAAATGCATTGTTTTCAAGCTGACAAAGTAGCAATGGGAAGATCTGATAGGGTTGTTAGGACGGCGTGTGGTTGAAAGAGAGAGGATTATGCATTAGTGATGAGAAAGCAAAGCATTTCCGTGTTTCTTTAACTTTGGGCACTTTTATGTCCCAGTTGCTGATTTTTATTAAAACAGATTTCAACTTTTTTTCTTTTTGTTATGTGAAGGTTTCATTAAAACTGTATTGGAAACTTTTTACCATGCCTTCGTCATTTATTTTTTATACTTTTCAAATTGCATTTATATATTTGAATGTTTTAGCTTATCCCAGGCAAACATTTATCAATCTGTTGATCAATGTTGAATTATTTAAAGTTGTGGTCTGAATGAAAATACAAATTCATTCTTTGCCACTAGGTGACGCTTTTGTAGCGTTTTAACGCTTTTGTAGCGTTAAAAACAGCAGTTTCCCCGGTAACGCTGTACACAAAGCAGCACTGAGACCAATCACCACAGATTAGTGTCACACAAAGGAGGGGTTTGGAAAAATGAATCGCTAAACGAATCGTTTGGGAGTCGTTGAGCAAATAAGGTAAAAATAAATGCATATTATATGACAATGAAAGTGTTTTGTGACCTTGCATGCATGTCAACCTGTTGTTGGGGACTCAAAAACCAAAATATGAACCTTTAATTACCCATAATAGGGGCACTTTAAATGATGTGAAATATTAGAATATTAGTAGTTTTTATTTAGGATGCATAAAATGGTAAAATTTTATTCCAATTATTGCCATTTTATTCCAAAAATGTTTAAAATGCCATTTCTTGGTGGTGAATGTTATCACAGTGCCACCTACAGGTAGGAACAGGTAGTTGGCTATAAATATCGACCACCTTTAAACCAGGACTTGAAATGTGCGGTAGTAGGTGAACTGAATTAAAGTGTAAAGGCTGTTCACACAGAACGTATTTATGTGATTCGCACTGAAGTAAAATGGTAAAAAGCGCAGGTTCTCGAGAAGCGTTTTTTACTTTTTACTTGGCCCGCCATTTTAAACACGTCCGTATCGCGTCTGTTTACATAGAAAAACAGTTTGAAAGCAGTGCAGCCGGGTCTATCATGACTTTATTCACTGATAAGTAAACCTAATGAGACATTATTTGTTAAGAGAAACATGTTTAATCTTCAAATAACAAGCTTTGGACACTAGGCTAATCGGAAAACCGCATCGCAACGCCACTGGATCAATTAAAACGAGTGAGCGTTCATTTAACATTTCCATTGTTCACAATGTATGTAAGTATAAAAGCTAAATAGCCTACATCCTTCCTTAGCTTTGTAAGAACATGTTTGATTGTCAGAGAGTCGTTAAGAAATTGGTTTGAGTCACGTCAGCTTTAAGGGTATTTTTTTATTGTCAATTTGTTGTTAAGAAATAAGGTCAAATAGAAGATGAATGCAAAATGAGGCAGTTTGTTACTTGTGTAGTTTTAATAAACTGCATATGGCTCTTGAATAAGTGCCTCGGGATAACTAAACTATTCATTATTTTCCTGATATGTCACAAACCTATACATTATAGGCTTGCATGTGATGCCCAAGGGTCCAATTAAAAGCTTTTGTCAGTGCATGCACAGTGACAACTACTGATGACAGATGATTATAGTCAAATAGCCAAGCTAGGAGTTTAAAAGGATGTTTTCTGAGGCGCAAAGTCAAAGGTTGGGGAACGATAAATGAAACCTTTTAAACAGTCCGGGTCATCAGTGACAGACAAGTGACGGCTGAACTAGCGGTTTGTTGTTTAAAAATGGTCAAATGTAGTGTTAACTAGAGTATGTTGAACTATCAACTGGATATATAATGGCAGGGTTAAAGTGAAAAGTTTCTGGACAGGAATGACACAAAAATACAGAACCAGGACTGTGAATCAAATTAAATTTGACAACATGCATTTAAATTAGAGTTGCTAATATGCATAATTTTAGAACTTTTTTTGTTTTACATGTTTGCTATATTTTTTTTGTCATGTGATTTATTTAATTTGTAGTTCATATTTTTAATGCTGATTCTGAGTTAGTAATTTTCTGTTTAGATGCTTATGACACAATATAGATGCTGCCCTTTGGTCAGAGTAATGAGGGACGTGATCCCATAACCTCCTGAGAGATGTTATTTAAAATTGTTTTGGTACATAATGTGCGTGAGAGCTATTGCTAACCTTCTAATTTTATATCTAAATATTTTTTTTTTTTTTTGTGGAAGATTTGATGAGCTTAGATAGCGTCTGTTTTATGTCAGAGGTATACATTTTTGACAATCGTCATGAAAACAAATTCGTCATGGAGCCATGGGATACACGTCTTTGACATTTGTACATGGGAATGAAGCATTTTAAGTGTTCTAAGTATACTGTCTCCCACCAAGTCCTGTCTAATAGATGTATGCATGTTTATTTATTTTTAACAGGATGAGCAACAATGGTCATTTTAAGAAAAGTGTGAGTATGCAGTTATGCATGTATACATGTTCGTACCCTTATTTTGATGAGAAAAGTTTTATGCTATACCAGGTTCCCCTTTAGTCATGAATACTGAATAAGGAAAGGTATGTTATAGGCTTGTATTGCACCTAAAACTGCTGCAAAAACAACACATTTATAACATTTCAAATGTGGGCCAGATGTGAGACAAAGAAGTGTTGTGGACCATTTTCTTAAGCATTTCTCAGTTGCAAGCCTTCAAGCTGTCAAAATATAAAAACAAACCTGAGTCAAACTTAAAGTAGGTGATAGATTTGTTTTTATCTGCAAGTGGTTATACATTTCTACATTTGAAGCAGAAACGGCTCAAATTGAATGCACGTTTGTTTCTCCTTAAACTTTAATCTGAAAACTTGTTCTTTTGAAGAACTTCAACTTCCACTAAAAACTTACTCAGATTCATAAATGTTTTAATAAGTCATTCCTCTTACTTGAAGAAATAGAATTACACACTTTGTTGTTAGCTGGGAATTTTAATGTGTATGAACAATGATAAATTACATACGTAGAAAGTAATATAGCCCCCCCCGCCCCCCCCAAAAAATGTTTTGGATGATTATATGGAAATATTCTATACATGCAATAAAGTAAAATATTGGCATCAAAGCAGAAGCATAAAATAGTTTCTAATCATTTCAGAATCATCAGTTCAGAATATATTATCAAAAAGTTACAAAGCATAATTACTTCAAAGTAGTGCTGTTAAATGATTAATCGCGATTAATCATTTGACAGAACTACTTCAAAGCAAAGAAAAAAGTAGCAAAATATATATATATAAAAAAATCAAATAACATATATTAAAAAATCAAATAATAAAAATATACATTACCCTGTGTAGATTATATAATAAAACATGGTTATTTAAACAAATGTTGGCCAACACATGCATGTATATATTTAAGAAAAAGATGTTGTTTATATATTAATAATATTTATATATGAGAATATGGATATATAAATGTATAAACGTGTAAATATTTTCAATATATATACTGTATGTGTGTGTGTGTATTTATATTATATACATAATAAATATACACAGTACACATACATATATAATGCAAACAAAAACTTTTATTTTCGATGCGATTAATCGCGATTAATCATTTGACAGAACTACTTCAAAGCAAAGAAAAAAGTAGCAAAATATATATATATAAAAAAATCAAATAACATATATTAAAAAATCAAATAATAAAAATATACATTACCCTGTGTAGATTATATAATAAAACATGGTTATTTAAACAAATGTTGGCCATTAACATCATATTTATCAACGGTTTTCAAACAAATTCACAGCCACATTCCTTTTTCATGTGTCATTCAGAAACAGTCACACAAAAATCCTCAAATATTTGGTCCAAGCTGGATGCCATGACAACCATGACATCATCCCGAAGTCCACAATCAGTCTGACAGCACTTGTACAGGAGGGCAGAAATTGCATAATCATCCTTACAACACGGCCCTTCCTTTGCACGGAAACCAAGCAACTTTGCCTTTGTGGTGAAATAACATTGCTGCAGCAAAGTGTGAGCTATAGACTTCCACTCGCCACTTATCACGCCTCAGTCTGCTCATGTCTTTTTCTCTATTGCACAGAAGCAAATGCAGTCTCAGAGACTGTACTACAAAAATGTGGCGAGCAAAGCTTGTCTGTTTATGCATTGCAACACAAACCCTTCTAAATATTTAAAACAAAGACTAAGCTAGCATGCTTTGTACGTTGGTGTCATGCAAAACAAAGCCCTCGGTGTCTCTGTCGCAGTGAGTCCGTGAGCTCTTGTGAGAGCAAAGGAGGGCGTGGAAATGCCTTCGAAAGGTTTCCGACAAACATGCATACAGTATTGGATTGGCGCAGCTCCACGAGTACGACAGCAGCACCACAAACTCAAAGCCATGCGTGAAATCGAGCACCAGGTCTATTCGGTGCAGGGAGCAAAAGTTGAAGACGTAGAACGGCAGCCAGCAGATGCCAAACACCAAAACAACCGCCACTACCATCTTAGTAACCTGTTTCTCAAACCTGTGACTTTCCATTGAAGACGTTTGATGCCTGGCGTTTCTCAGAGTCACTAGAAGTGCTGTGTAAAACACAATCATTACGGTGAACGGCAAGGCGAAGCCCAGTACGAATGTGTAGCTAAGAAAGGCCAACCACCAGGAGTCAGATGCAACATGAGGGTCAACGGTGCACAAACCGTAGGTGGCAGAAAAGTGAATAGCCATTGGAAGCACTGGAAACAGAGAGATAAACCACATTAATGTGGCGATGATCTTCGCCCGTCGCGGCGTCCGCCAGTGAGCGAAGCGCAGCGGGTCTACCAGAGCCATATAGCGATCAACACTCATCACCGTTAAGCAGAACACGCTTGTGAATTGATTGATGCCATCCAGAACCATAACCAGCTTACAAACGGCTTCTCCGAAGATCCACTGGTCCTGGAAGTTTTGGATGGCGATGAACGGGAGTCCCACCATGAAGAGTCCATCCGCCAAAGCCAAGTTCGTTGACTCCGATAAGCTGCGCCGGCTCGTTCCAATCCGCCGTTAAGAGGTTTCCAGGGTGCCATCTGTTACAATACTTTTGTTTTCATAACTAAACACCCTTGTCAGAAGGTCCATCCAGCCTCTTTCTTTCACACTCCCTTGCTCTCATTTTCCTCCTTCTCTCCACCCCTCTGTTTCCTCCCTTTCCTCGCAGTTCAGTGGGGGGTCAATCCGAGCCGATCAACCCCCAACTTCCCCTCTGGGCCACCCACTTTCCAAATACGTCCCCAAAGGATGAGTGATGAATCTGGCCTGTCTCCCTCTGCTTGTTTTAATGTGCTGCGTTCCCCCCTTCAGTGTTTATATTTCTCGCGATTGTTGGTCAGTGAATCATTTATCACGCGCAAGGCCTTGGTGGGTGGAAGCGGTTGCAGATAAAAGGGCAAGAGTAATGAGCGATCACCTTAGTCCTGTTCCTCCTCTGACACGCATAGTTGGAATGACGCAATTCTCACAGTGAGCTTCCCGGGATAACAGTAACTGAGGGAGGTAATGCTTATATAGTGAACTATATACTCACCACCTCACTGACAAGCACAGTTTTGGTAGTAGATATGTCTTTATGCAATATGCAGATTGTTTTGGAGATTTTTGCTCTACTCCCAATTCCATGAAATCATTCCTAGAATTTGGAACGTTCCATTGGCATGTTACTGTAAACGTGGAAATGCTTTGAGCTTATTTAGCGGTTTAAAGGGCCTCGGGTGACTTGAGGACAGGTATCCAGAGCTCTCCAATAAATCAGTCGGCATTTGGTTTCACTGTTCTGGGCTTGAGTTTTCTTGTATCTCTTAACAAGGAACATACCGGTTCTACAAATAGCATGCTTTGGTTTCTAAGAAATGTAACTGTTTGGGAAAGAAGAACTAGGATATGATTCAAGATGTTCTGAAACGTTTCCTCCAAAAACCTTTAATGCGTGTTCCTGGTCTCATCTGTGCATCTCTTTGTTCCTTTGTCTTTCATTTGCATGTGTCTTTAATTAGTTCCATTATTTCTGTTTTCAGTTTTACTGAAATTATTCCTCTTTTATTTTTCATCTCTGTTCTCTGATCTCATTTCTTATGGCTTATCGTTCATCTTAAGCCGAATTACAAATCTCAAATGCACATGGCCTCAGTGAATCACTTGTAAAGTTCAGTGATGCTTTATTTTTTTTTTCCATTTTACCATTTTTCTGGTAACAGTTCCTGAAGAGAAATCCAGCATATTCTATCTGCCACAATAAAAACAATATAGTCATGTTCTATGTGACGGAAATCATTTTAATATTTCAGTTTGTGGTCCCCTGCTATTTTAAAAACTTCAAACTTCAACGAACAGCCCTGATTCTCAAAGACGAACATACATCAGAAGTTCATATGCTTAGTGTCACGAAAGAAACCACAGTCTGCTCAACATAAAGGAGACAAGAAGCAGCACAGGATACATAACCAGATGCATTTCTAAGAAAGCTGTCGTTATCAAACAAGAAATTAGAGCAAATAAATGAGAAAAGAGATAAAATGAGAGTAATAAAGCAAATATAAAGGAGCGAATTAAAGAACGCACATGACAAAAATGAAAAGATGAAGGACTAGAGATAAGAAAAGGTTGATTAGAGAAATAATGCAATATAAAAAGTATTACATTTTATAATTGTATCATGAAGGGATTGGAATATAATTTGAACGGGGTTCAAACTCAGGTCACTTGAATATAAAGCAGCGTGAAAGTATCAGAGCACATGCTATTACCTATACAGAATAATACAGTCAGGGACGCAGGGAATAATTTTAACAATTATTAAATAAAATTTCATAAAATTAAAATTAATAATTAAATAATTTTATTATTATTTAATTTTATTTATAATAATTATTAGGCTATAATTATTTTATTTATTTATATTATTATTTTAGGTTTATTTATAATTTTTTTATTTTATTTATTATTCTGTTCTTAATATTATTATTATTCTGAATAGACTACACTGAACTTTTTTATTTTTTCAACTTTTAAACAATGTTCACTCAGAAATTGCTACTAAGTGAAAAGACTGAAATAGTATTTTATTACAAAACGTACGCAAATAATCGATTTTTTATGTTATTATTATGTTTTACAGTATATACAGCAGCAGGTCACCATATCAAGAAGTACATTATATTTATAATTTTATGTATTTATAATTATTTATTTTTTCCCCAAAAGGTTAACGCATTATTTTCTCCTAATAAGTTTCCAAATCCTTCCAGAATAATCTTGCATGGAGAAAAAGATATAACTAGTGAAGTTTCTTTCTAATCTACTAAAGTTCACAACATTATTCAGAATTTTTAGCCAGGTGAATCGGAATCTATATGCGCTAACCTGTTGGAACGTAGCTGACGTGGTCCCTTTAAAACTCCGGTGCGTGTGAAACGAACCAATAGGAGCTCGAGGGGGGCGGGACTTCAGCAGTAACACAGACACGTGTACACAGGGAAGCAGGAAGTGAAGCTGTTCAGTTGGTGTCTGTAAACAGTAAGTACTAACTTATTCAATAGTGTGTTGTGTATTCCGCGGCAGTAAAATGAATGAAATCAAGCGCAAAAAAGCACAAATCTGTTAGCGACGCGTTTATTTTGTGTTTCTGAAATACTGGAATGTTTAAATGCAACAGAAATTGACGATGGTCAAACTTTGCAGGAGTCTTTCACTCTGTTATTTCATTAAATAGCGCTGCATTTTCTTTATTTTATCATTTATGAGTGATTCAACTGCTAATAAACACTGTTTCGATAGGAAGGAACTGCAGTGCTAGTTAATACGTTTAATTGTTTGATTCATGCATAATGACAGATGTTGCACTCACTCAGAACTGACAGATATATCTAGTTCACATATATTGTGACCCAGGAGCACAAAACCAGTCATAAGTGTCAATTTTTTGAAATTGTGATTTATGCATAATCTGAAAGCTGAATAAATAAGCTTCCATTGATGCATGGTTTGTTAGGATAGGACAATATTTGGCTGAGATACAACTATTTGAAAATCTGGAATCTGAGGGTGCAAAAAAAAAAAATCTAAATATTGAGAAAATCATCTTTAAAGTTGTCGAAATGAAGTTCTTAGCTATGCATATTACTAATCAAAAATTAAGTTTTGATATATTTACGGTAGGAAATGTACAAAATATCTTCATGGAACATGATCTTTACTTAATATCCTAATGATTTTTGGCATAAAAGAAAAATCTATAATTTTGACCCATACAATGTATTTTTGGCTATTGCTACAAATATACCCCAGCGACTTAAGACTGCTTTTGTGCTCCAGAGTCACATATGTGGCAGAGATTAAACAGTAATTCTGAACTATATACGGTGAGCTTGTCATTAAGTGAACCGCCTGTAAATAAACATAATGGTTTTAATGCACAGAGCTCAGTGTTTGCAGATATCCTGGATAAACAGGATTTGGTTCACACACACGTCTGTGTGAGGAATAAACTGTGTTTGATTTGCACAGGCACCATGATTGCAGGCGTCAGTCCTGTGCTTCAGGCCCTGCTGGGGACCCTGTTCACCTGGGGCCTCACCGCAGCTGGAGCCGCTCTCGTCTTCATCTTCTCCAGCGGACAGGTGAGAGGGGTTACTTCAACTGGATTACATCAGTCAGGGTTTCAATATAAAGGGATAGTCATTCTGTCATTATATGCATCATGTGCACAGAAGAAGATATTATGAAGAATGCATGTGACTCTTTTCCATATAATGAAAGTTAAAGGGATAGTTGCTGGTAGACTTGCATAGTATTTATTTTCCACACTATAAAAGTTAATGGGTACCAGAAATTGTTTTGTTACCCACATTCAGAAGAAACAGATTTAGAACATGCAGGGGATTTAAATGATGACTTCATTAATTTTTGGTGAACGTACCCTTTAATGGGGAAATTTTAGTTCATATTTCTTCAAGTAAAATAGGTTTGGCTTAACATTAAATAATGAAAATATATATATTTAAAAAAAAAAAATTTGTTCTTCTTAATTTTATAATTTTATATTTTTTATAATTTTTATTTTTATAAGAGTCAAGGGGAATGAAAAGTGTGCAGATTTGAGTGTTTAACTGTAATTTTATTAGTAAACAACTATAAAAATGCGGTGGTAAAAACTTGGTTAACTAAGTTCTCTAACTATATACAGTAAAAAATGTGATCTAACAGGATATTTCATGTAATTTTAGAGTAAAATACTGTTAAATGTAAGATTTTTGGAAGTGAAAAAGAATGTTACCTTATAATTTACAGTAAAAAACTGTCAAAGCTCACATTTTATGTTTTTAAAAAAAATAAATAAATAATGAAATTATGCTTTTTCTTAGTTTGTGGATAACAGTTATGTGCTTTAGGATTTTATTTAACATATTATGTTGTTAAATGAATGTTTATTGCATTATTTTAGTGTTTTGTATTTCACTAGGTCATAAGGTTGGTTTATTAATATTATATAGTTAAAGCTGCAGTCCGTAAGTTTTGCCTCTTTGTCGCCATCTCTGTTTGAAAACCTGGAATTGCAGCTGTGTGTGGAATAATTTCCCGCGAAAACCACTCAAATTAGAAAACATTATTATAAGCTAACTGTTGTGAATCGGGCTAAAGTAAGGCGATAGTTTTGAACACCGGCTGGTTATGTACTTGCTCAAATATTGATTTCGGATCATTTTTAACCAAAAAAAGTTACGGACTGCAGCTTTAATAAAATATACAAGTTTTACTGTAAATTTAAGTTCAGTCTGTAAAACCTAAACTTTTGGTACTGTATTGTTATGGAAAATTTCTGGCAACCACAGTTTTTTTTGTAATTGTGTTGTTGTTGATTTTACAGTAAATCTTTTTTTCCCTCACAGAAGCGCGTCTTGGATGGCAGTCTGGGATTTGCTGCAGGGGTAAGAAACCCTCAA